TCCTCCTTCTTCTTTTCTTGGTTAATCTAGCTAGCAGTTTATCAATTTTGTTTATCTTCTCCAAGTACCAACTTTTTGTTTCATTGATCATTTGTTTTAGTTTTTTGTTGATGGTAGTTTTTGTTGTAGTTGTTGCTTTATTTATTTATTTAGTTTTTGTCTTCATTTTGTTTAGTTCTGCTGTAATCTTTATCATTCATTTTCTTTTGCTAATTTTGGCCTTGGATTTTTTTTCTTGCTTTTCTAGTTCCTTAAGATGTATCACTAGATTGTTTATTTGAAATTTTTCTACTTTTTTGATGCAGGTATTCATTACTATAAACTTCTCCCTTAGTTTCATTCTTCTACATGTGAGTATTCAGTTTTCCTACCAGCATTTATTGAAGAGACTGTTCTTTCCCCAATGTATCTTTTTGGCACTTTTGTTAAAAACGAATTCACTCTAGATGTATGAATTTGGTCTATGTGTCTGTCTTTATGCCAGTACTATGCTGTTTTGGTTACTGTAACTCTATAGTATAATTTGAAGTTGAGTAATGTGATTCCTCCAGTTTTGTTCTTTTTGCTGAGGATAGCTTTGGCTCTTCTGGGTCTTTTGTGTTTCCATATAAATTTTAGGATTGTATTTTCTATTTCTGTGAATAATGTCATTGGTATGTTGATAGGGATTGCATTGAATCTTTAGATTGATTTGGGTAGTATGGACACTTTAACAATATTATTTATTCCAATGCAGAAACACAAAATCTCTATTTTTGTGTGTGTGGCCTCTTCAATTTCTCTCTCCAATGTTTTACAGTTTTCATTGCAGAGAAATTTCACTTCTTTGATTAAGTTAATTCCTAGGTATTTAATTGTATTTTAACTATGATAAATTGGAATACCTTCTTGATTTCTTTTTCAGATTGTTTGCTGTTGGCATATAGAAATACTAATAATTTTTACATGTTGATTTGTATCCTGCAACTCTACTGAATTTGTTTATCCATTCTAATAGGTTTTTGGTAGAGTCTTTAGATTTTTCCAAATATAAAATCATATCATCTGTATACATGGATAATCTGACTTCTTCCTTTCCATTTGGATGCCCCGTATTTCTTTTTCTTCTCTGATTGCTCTAGCTAAGACTTCCAGCACTATGCTGATTAACAGTGGTGAAAGTGGACATCCTTGTGGTAGTCCAGATCTCAGGGGAAAGGCTTTCAGTTTTTCCCTATTAAATATGATGCTACCTATGTGTCTGTCTTGTATGGCTTTTATTATGTTGAGGTATTTTTCTTCTATATCCATTTCTTTAGAGTTTTTATTATGAAGGGATGTTGGATTTTATCAAATGCTTTTTCAGCACCAATTAAAATGATCCTATGATTTTTGTCCTTCATTCTGTTGATATGATGTATCACAATGATTGATTTGCATATGTTGAACCATCCTTATATAGTTGCTATAAACAGCATCAGTAGTATCCATGATTTCCTTAGTAGCATAGGGTACAGTTATTAGTGGAGGCTGTGGTAGACAGTGGGACAGTCAAGCAGATCAGAGTTTGGGTTCCAGTGGTAGCAGCAGTAGGCTGAGTATGTCTGTCCTTGGGCCCCATGGCAGTATATGACTGGGACACAAGATAGGTCACAGTTGGGGCCCCAGTGGTGGCAGCGGTGGGCTGAGCATGTCTGTCATTGGGCTGCAGGAAAGTCTATGCTGGCTCCAGTGTCAGTGGGCCCAGGAGGGCCAATCTTTGGGCAACCAGGTGACTTATTGGGGTACTAGCAGCAGTGGTCCTGGGTAGTAGCAGCAGTGGGCTGGGCAAGTGGATGGGCTATTGCACCCCTGGGCAGCCAGCATGACATGCACAATGACAATAGCAGTGGTGAGACAACCCTCTGGTCCCAAATGGTCTGTACCAGTGTTGGTGGTGGCTGCAATGGGTTGCATGGGCTGGTCTCCAGGACTTCAGGTGATATGTGTCAGCTATGGTGATAGCAGCTGAGTGGAGAGTTCAGGTGCCAATGGTGGTACCCTAGGCTGGGCAATATACTGGCCCCCAGATTATGTTGTCTGGAACAAGAGGTAGGGGTTAAGCCAGGCCAGACAGAATTGTCCTTAAGCTCTGTCTGGCTTGAATGCAGGCAAAGCTGTGGTAGACAGGGGCAGGACAATCTTTAGACCACTGGCAGAATGCTCACATGGGGACCGGCAGCAGCCGCACTGCTGTGGTACCACTGGAGCGGGCATGCTGCCTTCAGTGGTGGGCAGCCTAGTCTGGCTGCTGGGGAACACATGTGCTGCTTGCACCTCAACCCCAGCTGGAGTAAATGGTACCCTGCTCGGCCGGACGTGGTGGCTCATGCCTGATATCCCAGAACTTTGGGAGGCCAAAGCGGGTGGATCATGAGGTCAGGAGATAGAGATCATCCTGGCTAACATGGTGAAACGCCGTCTCTACTAAAAATACAAAAAATTAGCTGGGTGTGGTGGCAGGCACCTATAATCCCAGCTGAGGCAAAAAAATTGCTCCAACCTGGGAGGCGGAGAGTGCAGTGAGCCAAGATCACACCACTGCACTCCAGCCTGGGCAACAGAGCGAGACTCCGACTCAAATAAATAAATAAATGGTATCATTCTCATTCCGCAGCCCCAACAGCAGTAGTCAACACTTCACTTGCACCTCAACCTCCGGTGTGGTAGCTTTCTCTCCTAAGCCCCAGGGGCCACCTCAGGCCCCTGGACTCCAGGACAGTGTGCAATCTATTGGGGGCGGTGCTATGGCAACTTGCTGAAGCTGCTTAGGTTTCAGAAAGTGCGCAGGACCCAGTGCAAGCTCCCTCCCTGAGGTACTGCCATAACACAATCATGCCAGCACCTCCCTGTGCTCATTTCAGGGCCTTGTGAGGGTCAAGGGGCTCTCCCATGGCTAGGATTTCAGGAGTCTTCATTTGGAATGTGGACTACCTTTTCCTGTATTGGGAATGTCTCTCAGCTCCCAGTCAATCTTACCAAACAGAGATCTCAGGATTCCTTCTTTGCCTGGGGTATTTCCTATCACTTTTCTGTTGAATTCCAGTGGTCTCTCCTGGGTAATCTAATCGAAGTGTGATTGTCTGCTCTCTGTTTTGGTTCTTCTTAGTGGAGGAGGCAAACATAAAATGCCTCTAGTCAGCCATCTTGAAGCGGTCATCTGTTTTTGTTTATTTCATTTCCTCTCTGTGGATTATTAGTTCAGTAAATTGACAGAAATCAGTAAAGCTCCATCTTCTGACAATTACCCAAGAGGTCTCTCTCAAAACACCACATATTCACGAGGCAGTAACATCCCTAACTGGGTGTATTCATTTTTTATGGCTGCTATAGCAAACTAACATAAACTGGGTGGCTTACAACAAAAGAAATGTATTCTCTTGCAGTTCTTGAGGCCAGAAGCCTGGAACCAAGGTGTGGCAGGACCATACTCCCTCTGTATCCTCTAGAGGAGCATCCTTCCTTGCCTCTGACAGCTTCTGGAAACCCCAGACATTCCTTGATTTATGGCAGCCTAACTCCTATCTCTGCTTTCAGCTTCACATGGCCATCTTCCCTCATCTGTCTCTTCCCATGATGCTGTCTTCCTATATCTCTGTTTTCTTTTCTCTCTTTTTTTTTTTTTTTTTTTGAGACAGTCTCACTCTGTCACCCAGGTTGGAGTGCAATGGCACAATATTGGCTCACTGAAACCTCCATCTCCTGAGTTCAAGCAATTCTCCTGCCTCAGCCTCTCAAGTAGCTGGGATTATAAGTGCCTGCCACCATGCCAGACTGATTTTTGTATTTTGCATAGAGACATGGTTTTACCATGTTGGCCAGACCAGTCTTGAACTCTTGATTTCAAGTGATTGGCCCACCCTGGCCTCCTAAAGTGCTGGATTTATAAGAAAAGAAAACTGGCCCGGAGCAGTGAGCCGCTGTGCCTGGCCAGTTTTCTTTTCTTATAATGACGTCAATCATGTTAGAGTAGGGTTCACCCTAATCAAGTGTGACCTCACATTAACTTGATTAAATCTGCAAAGATCCTACTTCCAAATAAGTTCACAGTCACTGGTACCAGGGGTTAGGATTTTGATCTATCTTTTTGGAAGCTACAATTCAACACACAAAACAGAGAAATTACTTCTCTGCTGAGTCACTGCACATTCTAATGACTCAAAGCATCTGATTTCCGGTGTCTTAGGCCTAGGGGACCAGTGCTATTGGAGTCTTTGCTTCCAAATATGACCCACACTGATCCTTTCAATTATTCCTTCTCTGAGGCAACAGACCAGGCCTCCAATACCACTGCAGATGCTGGTTCCCTATAGAACAGAAAATTCGGGAACAGGAAATGATTCTAACAACATAGTAAGGATACAACGATTACTAGAACAGGCTGAGTTCTTTTTTTTTCCAGATGGAGTCTCGTTCTATCACCCACGCTATAGTGCAGGGGCACAATCTGGCCTCACTGCAACCTCCATCTCCCAGTTCAAGCAATTCTCCTGCCTCAGCCTCTTCAGTAGCTGGGACTAAGGTGTGTGCCACCATACCCGGCTAATTTTTTTGTATTTCTACTAGAGACAGGGGGGTTTCACCATGTTGGCCAGGCTGGTCTTAAAATCCTGACCTCAGACGATCCACCCACCTCAGCCTCCCAAAGTGCTGGGATTACAGTCGTGATCCACTGTGCCTGGTCAGACTGAGTTCTAATTCCACTTTTCTTATGTACTAGCTTTGTGACCTTAGATAAGTTGATCATCTCATTAAATATAAATGGACACAATATTTAAACACAAGGTATGTATGAGGTTTCAATAGCTGCTTTAAAAATGAGTTAACACGTGGCTCATACCAGGTGTTCTGTTCTTAGCAGTTTTTCTTCCTCTTCCCATTCCACTGCCTGTCCCGGGGATATTTTAAAAGCTTTGGGTACTGACCCTAACTCTAGGGTACATGCATGTTTTATTTGGTCTCTCTGCAGTGACATGCACACTATGGTGGAGAACCACACCCAAGTCACCTGGTTCCACCTGCTGGGACTTACAGAGCAGGAGGACCTCAAAGGCATCCTCTTTGTGCTCTTTCTGTTCATATATTCAGTCACTGTCGTGGGCAACCTGGGAATGATCACCCTGATCCATGCAGACCCACAGCTCCGCACACCCATGTACTTCTTCCTGAGCATCCTCTCTTTCATAGACTCCTCCTTTTCTACGGTGGACACCCCCAGGCTGCTGGAGAGCTTCCTTGTCTCAAGCCGATCCACCTCCTTTGCAGGCTGTGTGGTCCAGATGGCCCTCATGACCCTCCATGGTACTGTTGAGTGCCTGCTCCTGGCCATCATGGCCTATGACCGATTCACTGCCATCTGCCACCCTCTCCTCTATCACACTATTATGTCCCAACATCTGTGTGTGCTGCTGGTGGTGACCTCCTATACTGTTTCTGTTGCCATTTCAGCTTTGCTCACTGGATGCATCTTTAAGCTGCCCTACTGTGGCCCCAATGTCATTAACCACTATTTCTGTGACATCCCCACTGTGCTCCATCTTGCCTGTGCAGATACTACTGAGGTCGAGACCATTATCTTCTCATCTTGTGCCTTGCTCATCCTCTTTACCATCACCATTATCCTAGTCTCCTATGCTTACACCCTGGTGACCATTTGCAGGATGTGCTCCCTGGATGCCCAGAGCAAAGCTCTCTCCACCTGTGCCTCCCACCTCAGCATCATCTGCCTCTTTTATGGCACCGTCACCTTCATGTATGCTTAACCAAGCTCTCACAAGCCCATGGAACAAAACAACAAGGTCATCTCTGTCTTCTACACTGTGGTCATCCCCATGCTGAACCCTCTGATCTACAGCCTGAGGAATAAAGATGTAAAATATGCTTTGAAGAGGAGATGCCTTTGCAAGCTGTCTTGAGAACAAAGTATGGAGTATTGAGCATCCTATCCCAAGCAATAACATGGTAGCCACAATATAAACATGAATAATATTAACACTTAGATAGAGCAAAATATGTGCCATCAATACTTTAAACACTTGACATATTATCAACCCATTTAATCCTCACAACAAGTGTTTGAAATAGGCACTATTATTATCCCTTAGGAGTCTGGGGCACAGAAAAACTGAGTAACTTGCCCAAAATCACACAGCTGAAAAGAGGCAGTCTGGTTCCCTGAGACTATATTCTCAACCAATGCACTGTACTTACTTTTTCTGATGACCACATCTCAGAAAGGGACAATGGCAGCATTCCTTAAAGATATCATAAGGAGAAACTGGATCATGGCATTATAAAGTGGGATGGGAGCAACCATGGGGTTTGGAGCCTGTGCACCCACACCTCAGTTCACCTTGCCTCTGAGTGACCCCTTCTCTTGGCATCTGTGTGATGTTGAGTCAGTCACCTAGACCCTGAACCCCCATTTTCCCAAGTGAAAACTAGACAGTAACACCCATCTCAACTGGTTATTATTAGGCCTCCATGAGGGAGAATATGGGTTCCCACAGAGTCTGGCACAAGCAACTGTTCACAAACTGTTGGTTTCCTCGCTTCCCTGGGGAAACCACTCCATAGGATCACATGTTCTTATACATCAATGTTTTTTAAGGGTAAGAGCATACTACGTTGTGTATTAGTCCAGTTTCATACTGCTATGAAGAAATACCCAAGACTGGGTAATTTATAACAAAACAGAGATTTAGTGGACTCACTGTTCCACATAGCTAGAGATGCCTCACAACCCTGGCAGAAGGTGAAGGAGAAGCAAAGGCACGTCTTACATGATGGCAGGCAAGAGAGCAGGGGGACTGCCCCTTATAAAACCATTAGATCTCATGAGACTTATTCACTACCACAAGAACAGCACGGGAAAACCCACCCTATGATTTAATTACCTCTCACTGGGTCCCTCCCATGACACATGGAGATTAAGGGAGCTACAGCTGAAGATGAGATTTGGGTGGGGACACAGTCAAACCATATCACATAGCTATGATATTTAAATAACATTTTGGCTAGATGAGGTGGCTCACGTCTGTAATCCCAGCACCTTGGGAGGCTGAGAGGGGCAGATCACCTGAGGTCAGGAGTTAGAGACCAGCCTGGACAACATAGAAAATCCTTGCCTCTACTAAAAATACAAAAAATGAGCTGGGCCTGGTGGTGCATGTTTGTAATCCCAGCTACTCAGGAGGCTGAGGGATTAGAATTGCTTGAACCTAGGAGGTGGATATTGCAGTGAGCTGAGATCGCATCACTGTGCTCTAGCCTGGGCAACAGAGCAAGACACTGTCTCTAAATAAATAAATAAATTTCATTGAACCATGAGAACATTCTTTCTTTTCCAATCTTCTTTTTTCAGCTCTTCTAATATTTTCAAAGTTGAAGTCTCTATTTGATACTAGTTTGACTTTAAACCATCCCTAATGATGTCTCCTTTTTAACAGAGACAAAGTTTTAGCACTTAACCGTAATTAGTTAGTATTTAATAATGTTATATTGTTTTCCTTTCTATTTTATGCTGCTTTTATGATTCTAATTAAAAGGGTTTTAAATAAACAACTTTTTAAAACCTAAGTTTTAGAAAAATCACAATACATGTGATACACAGAGCAAAGGAGGTAAACAAATGACTTTAGGAACATTTATATAGATAATTCATGTTTTTCTTTTGAGACAGAGTTTTGCTCTGTCACCCAGACTGGAGTGCATTGGCATGATCTTGGCTCACTACAACCTCCACCTCCCAGGTTCAAGCATTGCTCCTGTCTCAGTCTCCCAAGTAGTTGGGATTACAGGTACCCACCACCACACCTAGCTAATTTTTGTATTTTTTTTAGTAGAGATGGGGTTTCACCATGTTGACCAGTCTGGTCTCGAACTCCTGACCTCGTGATCCACCCACCTTGGCCTCCCAAAGTGCTGGGATTACAGATGTGAGCCACCATGCTTGGCCAATTCATGTTTTTCAAAACATTTTCATGTTCATTATTTTATTTGATCTTCACCAAATGCTGTAAGATAAATAAGCTAGGTATTATTACTTCCATTTTACAAATTAAAAAAAAAAAATCTGAGAGGTTTACCTGATTATCTCTAAGTCTCACTGGAAGGCCATACAATAGCTTAGAACAGAGAACCCAGGACTTCTAATTGTGATGGAACCCCCTGCACACAGTTCTCAACTTCCTTTCAGAAAAAAATGAAAGTTCTTTAATTTCTCTTATTATGGACTGAATTGTGTCTCCCCCAGATTTATGTTAAAACCCTAACCCCCACCACCATCCCTCAGAATGTGATGGTATTTAGAGATAATGCCTTTAAATTGGTGATTAAGTTAAAGTGTGGCCTTTACAGTGGGCCCTAGTCCAATCTGACTGGTGTTCTTGTAAGAAGAGGAAATCTGGACTCCAAAGAGATGCTAGAGGTGTGCACAGAAGAAAGACCATGTGAGGATGCAATGGAGGGGGCAGCTGCAAGTCAAGGAGAGGGGATGCAGAAGAAACCAGCCCTGCCAGCACCTTGCTCTTGGATCCACTTCCAGCCTCCAGGACTGTGAGAAAATCGATTCCTGTGGTTTGAGCCACCCAGTCTGTTGCATTTTGTCATAGCGGCCCGAGTTGACTAATGCAGCTTCCATTCTTAAGGCTGCCTCTTGGCCCAATATCGCTGCTGAAGCTCTAGCCATCATTTCAGTGTTTGAAGAAAAAAGGTTGAGGAATGAGAAAAAAAATGCCAGCTGCTTGTTCCCTTTGGTAGCTGCCGTAGTGTGAATGTCTACCCCACCCCCACCAAAAAAAAGGTTAAAATTTAATTGTCATTGTGATGTTATTAAGGGGTGGGACTGTAAAAAGGTGATTAGGCTATGAGGCTTGCTTTCTTTCTTTTCTTTTTCTTTTTCTTTTTTTTTTTTTTTCATGGAGGCACCCACCACCACATCTGGCTAATTTTTGAATTTTTAGTAGAGATAGGGTTGGCCAGGCTGGTCTCAAACTCCTGACCTCACTTGATTTTCCTGCCTCGGCCTCCCAAAGTGCTGGGATTACCGGTGTGAGGCACCATGCCTGGCCACAGAAATTTATTTCTCACAGTTCTGGAAGCTAGGAGGTCCAGGGCAAAAGGGTCTGCATTTGGCATGGTCTTTCTTGCGGCATGGCAGCTTCAGTGGTTCACATCTTCTCACTGTGTCCTCACATGGTAAAAGGGACAAGGGAACTCTGGGTTTGTTTTTTTTTCATGTTTTTGTTTTTGTTTTTTTGTTTGTTTGTTCATTTGTTTGTTTGTTTTGAGACAGGGTCTTGCTCTATCACCCAGACTGGAGTGCAGTGGCGCAATGTCAGCTCACTGCAACCTCCGCCTCCCAGGTTCAAGCAATTCTCCTGCCTCAGGCTCCCAAATAGCTGGGATTACAGGCATATGCCACCATGCCTGGCTAATTTTTTTTTAATGAGGGCACTAATACCATTCATGAAAACTCTACCCTCATGACCTAATCACTTCCCAAAGGCCCCACCTCCTAATAACATCAACTTACGGAGTTAGGATTTTAACATAAGAATTTGGGGGTGCGGGGACACTAACATTTAGACCTTAGCAAAATCACATTTTAAAATTTACTATTCCCAGTTTCTCTAGGAAGGAAAGATGAAAGTGATCACCAGTCTTATTCTCGGCCATAATCATCTGGTGCTGAGTTGCAGCTACTATTTTAGACAGGCAAACTCTCCAGTTCTCCCTCAACCCAGTTTTCCCCACCATTCATTATTAAAGATGTCTGTTGCCTTTTTTATCACACCAAGTTTTTTGCTTACAGTAGACAACCTGTCCTAGCCTGAGCAGGCCATGCAGTTAACATACTTCTTTTACTGACATCTTCCCCAGTGCCTGGAATGTGCTTCTCCCATTCCTTCCATCAGAGGCATGTGAACCACAGCAACTCCATCTTGAATAGGAGCTGTATAAAATAAGGCTGAAACCTACTGGGCTGCATTTCCAGACAGTTAAGGCATTCTAAATCACAGGATGAGATAGGAGGTCAGCACAAAATACAGATCATAAAGACTTTGCTGATAAAACCGGTTGCAGTAAAGTAGCTGGTCAAAACCCGCCAAGACCAAAATGGTAACAAGAGTGACCTCTGCCCATTCTCACTGCTACACGCCCACCAGCACCATGACAGTTTACAAATGCCCTGGCAATGTCAAGCAGTAACCCTATATGGTCTAAAAAGGGGAGGCATGAATAATCCACCCCTTATTTAAGATATTATCAAAAAATAAGCATAAAAATGGGCAACCAGCAGCCCTGGGGGTTGCTCTGTCTATGGAATAGGTATTCTTTCATTGCTTTACTTTCTTAATAAACTTACTTTCACTTTGCACTGCAGACTTGCCCTAAATTCTTCTTGTGCGAGATCCAAGAACCCTCTATTGGGATCTGGATCGAGACCCCTTTCCTGTAACATATTTCTAGTAATCACAGAAGGGACTATAGTGCAGAAACCCAGACCCAAAGGCTAACTTTGGGTAAGTGGTGGGGTCTGGTAACATCTTTCTCGTGAACCACAAAAGGGACAATACTGAGAAGACCCCAATCCAAAGAAATAGACTGCAGCACTGATGGGACAACTTTGGGTAAGAGGTGGGTACCCAGGTAAAGAATGGGACTGGGTTATAGGCCCAACTTAGGTGAGTTAGAATCTCTCCTAAGAAAGAGTGGGTTAGAGGACCCTCTTAACAAAAGGCAAGAATACTTGACCAAACGTGCATTACAGCTCCAGCTTAGGAGGGTTAGATTCCCATCTAAGATTTAGGGGGATTGAGGCCCCTCTCAGTAAAGACCCTCTCAGCTAAGAATAGGTTTGGCATCATGGGATGTTAACTGCTATTCTCTTTGGATTAATCTGCCTTACACT